AAAAATAATGTCAAGTTTCTAGCTAGCTCTCATGGCCTCACAGACTTCCACACCACTTGGGGTAAAGAAAAAAAAAAAATCATGGTTGTTGCGTAAGCCCGCATTGGGATGATTACATGCACTTGTGGAAAATATTGTTAAATTGACAAAATGAAGACTTTGATTTTTGGAAAATTATCCTTTTGACTTGACATACTATCAATTAAAATTTAACGGCACTAAATGTAATGATTTTATCTTTGAAACTGTAACTGAAAAGTCAAATTATGAGTTAAAATATTACAAGATTTATTTATTCTAAGCGAATTTAATATTCCTTTGCCATCCAAAATTTATTAAAAAATTAGAAAATGGAGATAATTAGTTTCCTTCCCAAAGAGGACGGCTGCTATACTGAGGTCAAGCGATATTGCAGACTTCCCCACCTGAATAATATTCCATTCGTCCTGCCCCGTTTAGACTATAACATAAAGCGTTTTCCAAAATTTCGTTTAGTTTAAAATATGAGATATTTGATAGATTTTTTTTTTTTTTACCATTGAGACATTTGATAGATTATACATACACACACACACACACACTATATATATATATTATATTTAATTATGTTTTTATTTTGTTATATTATGTTTAAGTAAATAATGAATGTGTTTTGAATAAGTCAAATATTATATTTATTTCACACAAAGGTATAATTAAAAAGATATAAAAATGTTAAAAATTAAGATTTTAACCAATCATTTTTTAAAAACATAAATTAGTTAATAATATTTTATATTGTGGTTTAAAGAAAATAATTTATGAGATACTTTTTGATAAAACTACAAATATTAATAAAGTATCATTTTAGGATTCAACTCATAAAAATATATAATATAAAAAGGCATCTCTTAGGAGATGACAGTCACTTACATTTTTTGAAAAGGTAATCTCAAGTTGTTGGCTATGAGAATGTCTCAGGTAGTAACAAAAATTCATTAAATACATATACATCTTACAATTTTATTTTTTTGAAAATAAAAATTTAAAATTTAAAAAATACTATTAATTTAATATAATTCCATTTGTAAGAGAAAAAAATATAATAAGGAGACAAGAATAATATTGAAACATTGAATCACCTCCTGAGTATAAACTGTGATGGTGTGAGTATTTAATTTGACCATGTCTATATAAAAATCAACGTATGCAATAAAATAAAATAATAAATTTCCCTACATTTGAACAAAGGATTTGAATCCTTTAAAATTGGGATTGGTAAATTTTTGTAAAGTTTTCCTTTTTAAAAAAGAGAAAGAAAAATTTATTTTATAAAATATAATAAAATAATCAAAAATACTAAAAAAGAGACAATCAGAGGAATAAATGAATTAGCAGTATATCTTGTCATCCAATTGGTCACTGGTGTTCCACTTGCATTTGTTTAATGTTTAATTCATAAAACCTTTTTTAATAAACAACTAAACGAAAAGAAAACTTCGCAATTAAGAATTCTTGAACTATAGTAAATATGTCTCAAATTTATTTTATTATTTTTATTATATACTTTTTATGTCTCAAATTATAAAAACATTTTTTAAAATATAAGATAATTTAAAAAGATTAAGGATTTACTAAATAAATTTATTTTAATATTATTCTTTTTCTTTCTATTTAATTCTATCACTTTCTCTTTTTAATATATTAAATTATGAATATTTTTAAAAATTTATATTTTTATTTTAAAAAATATACATGAAATATTGTTCAAAAATATTTTATAATTTGAGATGAAATAAGTATTTATTTTATTATAATATTAGCAGGTTGGTTGCTTCGCTTGTACTTCTCTAGTCTTTATTATAAAGACATCTTCTAAAAAAATTTGGTGATTCTCAATATAAGATAATTGATGGGGCATTAATTATATTTTTTTAATATTATATATATTTAAACTCATTAATTATAAAAGAGAATGTAATGTAAATTTAAGTTTTTCATTTAAATAAGGGTAGAATTGAATATTTATCTTTTATAAACAAAGTTAATAATTTAATCATTTTTTTTAATTCTGATGACTAGTGAGATGATTAAAGGTGCTGTATGATAAGGATTGAATAGAGTATTTATTTTGTTTTGATCAATAATTCAACCAAGTAATCATTTCTCAACACATAATAGTTACTAATGGCAGATATATCATTTCATCAAGAAACAAAATATCAAACAAGTTTTTAAAAATTAATTAATAATTATCACATTTTGATATATTCAATTGTAATTGTCATCTTTTATTCGAAGGTATTTTTTTTACCAATATATATATATATATATATGTATGTATGTATGTATGTATGTATAAAGTAACTTTACTGTTTGCCTTCCCGTGAGTCACGAAGGATAGGGTACATGTAAAGTATGCCATTTTCTTCAATCCAGCATCATGACATTCACAAATGGCAGGGTAATTATACTCCCTTCGGTTGCTCTTTCTCTCTCACTTTTATTTTATTTTATTGAGGTGCAAGTTCACGACAATTTTAATTGTATTTTCTTGCACAATTTTCAACTAAATAAAAAATTAAAAAAAAAAACTCATGCCTAACTTTGTTTAATTGAAGCACCGCTACTTTTATACAAGCTTCAAAACATGCAATCTCTGCCTCCCTCCATAGAACCAAATTACAGACATAAGATGCATGCAGTGCAGATGAGTATACATGGGTTTTTTTGGATTTTTTGGGCAAATTTTCTCATAAACTATAAGTCTAGTAATGCTTAAAAACTTAAACTTGTTTTTGATAGTACAATGTTTCCATTCAACTTTTTAAAAACCGTGCAAAATTGCCCATATTGTTAACAAATATTAATTTAGATCATTAGTTGATTATAAGTTATAGAAAATGAAAAGAAAATATTTTATGTTCCTTTTCTTTAATTTGTTGGGTCTTTATCTATATTTTTTGGGGTCTTGTTCTATAATTTTCACGTCATTTTTTGTAAATTTTTTATTAATTAATCATCAAAGTTAACTTTTATGCAACTGTATTAAATATTTATTGAGAGATTTTTTAGCCAATATAATTACTAGACTCGACTCATGAATAATGAGTAATTGTATCAAAATTACACTTTAACCCTTTTGTTTTGTACAAAAGAGGGCATTAACTCTTAACTAAAAGGAAATTAAACATCAAGATATTGAAATCCTAAGCAATCTTTTTGCACCATATTCCTCATAAATTGAATTGCCATGTCATAGAGGGCTGTTCTATGAACTCCTTCTTGGTTTTGATGTCTTGGTATGTAAGTAAATTGAACTTGCCACTAAAATTGCAACATGTTTCATAAGCACTAAGTTGCATGTGTTTTCACTTGCATCAGCAGCATTAATGTTCTCAACTAGCATTTTATTTAGAATTACTTTTAAAGATGACTCTTTTAAAGCCCATATCCCATGCTAAATTGAGACCTTTCAAAGCTGCCCAATTCTCCAACTTCATATGAACTACATTTGTCTAAAGTATGCGAAATCCCAGCTATTCATGAACCTTGGTTATCTCTCATATATATAAGCTGATCACATTGCACCATCACCATTAAGTTTCACTCAATTAGGAGGTGGTGGGGCTCAAGTGGAAAAGTCACTGTTATCCTTCGCTTCAATGTAGAGAGAAGTAAGAAGGAAGAAAAACTATAAGAGAAAAAATACATAAAAATATTATATTATGATACTTTTCTCTTTTTAACTAGCACTTTTCTCTCAATTCAAGCAAATCCTAAATCTTATTAGCTATATACATGGGTTTTGTTAAAGTATAAGAAGTATATTATGACACGTCAGTAAAGACTAATCTTTTTTTTAAGTATTGAGAATAAAAGGTCTCTTACTACTTCCTTTATCATTATATGTAAAATATTTTTTATAAGTTTATTTTATCTCTAAATATAATGACTGTCATGATATTTTTAATAATTATGCAATTTTATAGAAATATTAACTATATGTTTTATATACCACTATTATATTATTAATTGTGACATTATTAGCAAAGTTGAAAAGCGTGAGGGTCAAGCCTTCGGTTATCTCAAAATCAATCATTTTATGAAACCCGACCTTTACTCGAAAGGCTTAGGGGCATACCCATGAGTGCTTTTTTTTTTTTAATTTTTAAAAATTAAAATTTTCAATAATAATGTTTCATATTTTAAAAAAATATAAATTCTAATGTTTAAAAATTAAAAATAAATAATAAAAATTTTAATTTTAAGTACAAATATATATTTTAAAGTTTAAATTTAATTTAAAAAATTAAAAATATTTTATATTGTAGTGGTAAAATAAAAACGGACTTGCTCAGCGTCTCTTTTTGCAGGATACATTAAGGCTGAGTTTTGAACCTTGATTTTCTTAAAAAAATGTCATTTTTTTCAAACTTAAATTTTATAAAAACTAACTTAAATGGACAATTTGTCACGAACCTATCTATTAGAAGCAAAACTGGAAAATAGGACGAAGAGAGTATGTTATTTCATACGCAAGGATGATATAATACTATTATGTTAACCTGAGTTGTAATTAAATGTTTTTTAGTTCAAAAATACATCGTCCAATTTACTGTATTATCTCAAATAAGATTTTAAATCTTCTGAAATTGATATTTATGAATTTGGATAAAATTTTCCTTTTCACTATTTTATCTGGTTTTATTATTTTGTAAGTCTTCCTTGTATTATCCCTCCTGGCACTACCAGGCACGAAAACATCTGAAACCTCAGAGAACAGAGTCGCCACTCGCTGTTATTATCATCTCTTCCCAATAGCAAGAAACCACGAATGGTGGAATGGAAGCCACCAATATATATATATATATACATTGGCATTGCTCAGGAAATGTTCTCCTAGATAGCTCTGTTTTTCATTAGGAATACAGGGGCTTGAATGATTATATAAAACAGATTATGTTGATTTTTTTTAATTGGCTTTTCAATCTTCTGATGTTTTAAAACAACATGTAGAATGAACCAAAATCCTTTTATTGATCAGGACTTGTATTGTGAAATACATGGTGCAAACATGGAGTCACAACAATCTTCTACTACATTACAGTCCTTTCATTTTTTGTCGACATTTAAAAAAACAAAAACAAAACTTACATGCTGACCACCAAATCATCTATTATTCGAAGAAGTAATAAGTAATTATGACATTAAGAATGATAATTAACAGGAACAACGCATAGACCGTTCTTCCTTCTCACAGTTGCACCAAAGGATTCAGTCATATCGATCTCTTCACGTTTCATATCATTTGGAAGTTTCCAATCAAAATGATAAAGCAAATTGGCGAGAACAAGCTCAATAACAACTGAAGCGAATGTGACTCCGGGGCAAATTCTCCTACCAGCACCAAATGGGATGTATTCAAAGTTTGTTCCTCTGTAATCTATTGAGCTATTCATGAATCTCTCTGGTTGAAATTTCTCAGGCTCCTTCCAATACTTGGGATCTCTTCCAATTGCCCACACATTGACCATGACTTTAGTTTTGTGAGGTATCTCATAGCCATGAATCTCACAGCCTTGACTATTTTCTCTTGGAACTAGCAATGGTAAAGGTGGGTGTATTCTCAAGGTTTCTTTGATGATTGCTCCTAAATAGTTCAAATGGTCAAGTTTTGATTCGTCCACATATCCTTTGTCTCCGTACACCCTTCTTACCTCTTCTTGTGCCTTTTTCATTCTCTTTTGGTCTCTCAGTAATTCTGACATTGCCCACTCTACAGTTGTTGCTGCTGTTTCAGTCCCACCAACAAAAATGTCCTGAAATGAGTATCATGAACCACATTATTATACTATGGACAATCCCAAATATATGATGGTATAATTCGACAATATATGAGACTTTCTATAAATGCATATACTGACCAGGATAACACCTTTGATGTTGTCTAGAGTCAAGGGAATTTCCAAGTTATTCTCCTTTTGAATTCTGAGAAGAACATCAACCAGATCCTCTTCCTTTGGCTCACCATTATTAGTATGGCTTTGGTTCTTTTCTTTGTGGTCGTTGATGATATTATCAAGCATCCTATCAATCACTGTGTGAACTTTCTTAACTTTAGCTTCCGTCCCCGTGATCACACGGAGGATTTTGAGTGAAGGAAAGAGATCAGAAATTGAAAGACCACTCGCCAGCTGAATCCCAAAAGCCAAATTTGATAGGATTTCTTCTACGTTCTTTGTCCTTTTCCCAAAAGCTGCACGAGCAACTATCGAGTTCGTGATTGGCAGAATCTTCTTCCCAAGGTCCATGACAGAACCTGCGTGTTCTTCGGATATGTTCTTGACAAGTGTTGACGCCTCATCTTCTCTTATTGTTCTGAAGGATTGGACCCTCTTTGCAGACAGAAGCTCCAACATACAAATCTTTCGAAGCTGCCTCCAATGGTTTCCGTAAGGCGAAAAGGCTATGTCTTTGCAGTTATAGACAAGGACCTCAGCAGCAAGAATTCTGGGTCTGTTGGCAAAGATTTGGTCGTGGGTTTTCATGATCTCTGTGGCTAGCTCAGGCGAAGAGATTACCACGTTGGATATTTGCCCTAGTTGAAGCTGCATTATGGGTCCGTACTTGTTTGCAAGGTCTCTGAGAGAACGGTGAGGAAGTGAACCTGCAAGTTGGTGAAGGTTTCCAATGAGAGGTAGCTTCCATGGAGCTGGGGGTGAGGTTTTGGTGGGTTTCAGAGAAGTTGATAGCTTGTATATCATAAGGAGGAAGCAAAAGAAGGTGAAGAGGATGGAGCATGGGATCTGAAGCTCCATGATCTGAATCTCAGTGGAGTGCCGTTTGTGGGGTTGGGAAGGAGACGAAGCATTGAGGGGTGGTTTTATAATGAATTATTGAACGCTTGAGGGTTAATGTTGCATTTTCTAGACCCTGTTTTTCTTAGTGTCTTTGTGATAAATTATAATTCCTCTTCTGAGATTGTCCAAGTATTTATGAAGTTAATAATAATACAATGTAAAACTTTTCATGCCAAATAAAATTAAATTAAATAATTAATATAAAATTAAAAAAATAATTTATAAACTTAAGTTTTGAAATTTTAAATTAAAATGTAACGTTCTTCTACTGATTTTGCAAATTTCTCCTCTCTTTCTTTTTTGAGTCGTCGATCCTCATTCCAAACCACAAGAATAGACTCTCTTTATTGGTGGTCGAATAGAAATTCTGCAAGTCAAATAGAAATTTTGTCAGTCTTGGCCTTCGGAATTTGGGTTGCACACGGAAGTTGGTGATCATAACGTTGGGGTCTCATAAGGCTATACGTCTCGTATTCTTACCTAAATCACCACTTAGACTTCCATGCACATCTAAGATTGTTCTAATTGAAAAGGATTTAAGCCACACTTCCTCCATTTTTATATAGGAAAGAAAAAAATTATATCATATAATTTAAAAAAATCAATTAATTATAATAATTTTACTTGAAAATAATAAAATTGAATTAAAATATCCTATATTAATTAACATAAATATTTATTAATTTCTTTGTTAATGTAAATTATAATGGGTGATATAAAAAATATGCAATAAATATTTATTGAAATGAGTGATTTTACTTATAAAAAAAATATAAGTAAAAAATTATAATTTTTTTAATAATAAAATATGAAGGGAGTAATTTACAAGAATATGAGTTTTGATCTTCTCGTTGAAATGAGCACTCTATTTATGATGAGCACTCTATTTATGAGTAATTTAGATGGGCCATCCTCACATGGGCGGCAGGATTCTCACAATCTTATTTACAGAGACTTTTTTATCACAAAACGATTGCCAAGTTACATTTACATATTCTTTAAGTCTATTGAAGTCTCGCTGTAATGGAATTTTATCGGATCTACCCTAATGGAATTTTATGTTGCTTGCTTGTATTAAGTCTAACGTGGCAGCTGATAAATATGCACACCTTTGATGCTTATAGTTGACAGTAAATTTCATTATATTTCTGTCATTCAACCATCTTGACCATTTATTATTCCGTTGGAATCCTACCAAGAAAAAATAATATCAACATTAAATAATAGAACAAGAAGAGGTCAAGAAATTGTATAGACTAGATTGTGGGCTTATACTTTGTATGAAGCTTAAGTTGCAACGTTCATTACTATGCTTACTTATAATGTTCACCAGACTCTACAAATAATTGTAGCTCTTCACTGAAGATCACAATCTAATAGTTAATATCCTCCAATTGTTCACTACATGCACTTTCTATTTAATAACTATCATTTATGCCCAAACCTTAGTCCCCATGATTAATGTGCATTTGTTGGAGCGGGATTTAAAAAAAAAAAAAAAACGACCGTGTGAAGTTGAGAATAAAGTTGGTGGCCAAAGAAACACAAGAAGGCTTTGAGAAACAAAACCAAGAGGCAACAAATTAATTAATCATGACATTAACCCACGATTCTACATTACTTACAAAATCTACTTGTAATTAATCTCTCTTCCCTTTTAAGTTCAAAAGAAATAGAAAATTCTTTATGCAATTAAAGGTGACAAACATATCTTATTTTCCCGAGGGAAACAAAAATGAAGATAAAGAAAAGAAACTGATGTGCGTTGCATCTTGTATCGCTGTTGGGTCCAAAAGTTGCTCAAGGAAGCTCTCTTTAACTAACTATAGACAAAGTGGCATCCATCATAGCCTGCAGAGAAAGCCCAAATAAATAAATAAATAAATAAAAACAATTACTTTCAAAATACAATTAAATTCAAATTTGTTAGAAGTGAAAGTAAAAGACTCACTTGGGTCCTCTGACACCAGCATGCCAGTCCCTCCAAAGTCACAGGTCCCACCAGAAGCCTTGGAATTTTGCCAGTAGCCATTGAAAGCAAACGAAGTATGTGCAATAACAGTGTCGGGCTCAAAGCAAGGCCCATTGGGCCGAATGGGATCACAATCTCCTCCTAACCCGCAAGCATAGTTCATGGCTTCTTGCAGTATTGGGTCCGGAACTGATGGCTTAGCCACGCACCATAAGGCTCCACTTGGGGCCTTGAGGCCAGGAGGGGGAGGCACAGAAGGTGGTGGAAATACTACAGGAGGCTCAAACACTGTTGGGCTGGGCACATTGCCTCCACTAGGAGATGGATTTGTGCCTGGTGGGCTTGTGGCTGATCCAGGTGGGCTTGGAAGAACAATAGGAGGGTTTTGTATTGGTTCTGGGGAGCCTGGAGTAGAACCTTCATTTGGAGGCGTGGGAGTACTTGGTGGATTTTGTATCGGTTCAGGTGAGCCTGGCCCAATACCCCCACTTGGAGATGGGATAGTGCTTGGTGGGCTTGTCATAGAGCCAGGTGGGCTTGGAAGAACAATAGGAGGATTTTGTATTGGTTCAGGTGAGTTAGGCCCAGTGCCTCCACTTGGGGATGGGATGGTACTTGGTGGGCTTGTTGTAGACCCAGGTGAGCCTGGAATGTTACCTGGTGGGCCAGGGATGATAATTGGAGGATTTTGTAAGGGTGAACCCATGTCAGGAGAGTTTGGGATACTTTGTGGTGTTGGTGTGGGAAGAGATCCAGTTGGGCCTGGAGGCGGTAATTGGAGGCCCATTGGAGGTGGGGGAGGATAACCAAAAGGAGGGCTATTTTGTTGTAAAGGAATTGGAGCCAGAGATTCATAAGGCGGCAAAGGAGATGATGAGTCAACACTTTGTGCATTTGAAAATTCTAAAGAAGACAATTCAAAATGCTTGAAAGCCATCCTCAACTTCTTCGCATGCTTGTGTGCCAAAATTCTCCCATGTTTTTTATCTTTTGATTCTCTCATTGATCTCTCTGCATCTACAAATCGAGAAAAATCAATGAGGCTTATATAACACATATAACCCTATTCAAAATTTGATAATACTCAGTCATTTTTCTGAGACTTCAACGAGTTAAAACAAATGAGCAAGGGTAAGATAAACTGAATCTAAGAAATAAAACCCATCTCAATATCAAAGATTGAGATCCGTATCACGTCAAAGTTTATCAGTGTAAATGAAAGCAAATAGGATGAATTTGGTATGATCGTGATTGTAGACATACCGCAATGAATGAGAGAAATAAATGATAGAGTCAGATAGAGGAGAAAAAGGCCACTTCTCATTTCTAAGTGACCTCTGCTTCTTTCAGTTACTGCTCACAGCTCAATAATGCAACGTACTGTGCTGCTGTATGAGACTTGTAATTAAATTAAAGCTTTGGTTTTTCACCACAGCACTGAAAGACCAGAACAACGGAGTACAATGGTGGGGTTTTATAACAGATATTGCGGAGTTGGAAGAGCCCTAGAACTGCCCAGAAAGAAGGAATGAAGAGTAATTGGAGCCATGGAAGTTAAGTAATTCTCTGGACGGTCATCCTTTGCTTCAAGATGCACGCCTGAAGAGAATGAATAAAATAAAAAAAAAAGAGAGAGACACAAAACCGGAAAAAGGCCAATTTATGTGAAGCAGTTCGGTTCATTTTGAGCAATGTCTTTTGTAAGCTCATTCCGTGTGGGTATAGATGCTTGCTTAGCCATTGAAAAAGATTAAAGTTCTGGTTTATATTATGCCCCTTTTGTTGTGTTTGCTTGCTTTCTACTCAAAGCTTCGTCTTTCTCTGGCTTTGTTTTACTTTTCTTCCATGGAAGCACCAGCACGGAGCACAGGGTGTAGTGGCGTGAGAAAGAGGGATTGAGGTGATCAAGTCAAGCACCATAAGCAGGACAAGCATTAGATACCTGTGAAGCAGATTCCTGTTTTTTGTGCTCATCTATATACATGCATATAAATTACCAGAAGATGTATATATATAATGGTCCCTGTGATGCTTGTACTAGGTAAGATGCTTCAGGGAAAGTAGGCTTTTTAAGTTCAGGCTTCTATATAGTTACTTAGTTTAGCTTGTCATTGTCTGAGATTAGAATTGGTCAAGAATTTGTGCTTGTAGATGGAAATTGAACAGTGGGATTTGAGAATATTGATTGGATGTGTCGTCAAGAACCTCATCAGAATGCAGAAGAGATGCCATGGGTGGCCAGTGTCCAATGAACATGTTGTTCATTCTTCTTTCTTATCAGCACAGCAGACAGCATTTTATGCCTCCTACGTTGATGCCCTTCCTAGCTACTTATTCCATTCTTGGGTCAAACTTTGAAGGTTAGGTTCATATAATATAAATGTAAGTCATGTTGGATTACCCCTCCATAGATTGGACCTTTTGGGTAGAGGCCCAATTTGAATTAAATTATTATGGTGGTAGTAAATTACCAGAAAAGGAAGCAGTTATGTAATTGTATAAGATTTTTTTCTGTTGTGATATGTGGGATGGCCTATATCATTTAATAGACGACCGAAAAAATCTCCCTGTGCTTCCTGGGTGTGATAGAAGAGGAAGTTTCATGGTCACAGAGGTATGATTTTCCGACTGTAAATTCCTACATATATCAAAAGGACAAAAAATGATAAAAACTAGACATGGGTCCAGGCATCGTACCCTGGGTTCAAAACTAGAAGAGAAGCTTATAGATATACATTTGAAGAAAACCAAGGAATACCAAGGAAGAGTGATAATTATATACATTGAAAAAAGAAATAACAGTTTCATTATTTATACCAAGGAATAGCTTTGCACTAAACAAACAAAATTATCCTTGGATTAATTGAAAGGGAAAAAAAAGTACCACTTTATCACAAAATTAAAGCAAAAGGAAAGGTTAGTAAAAGCTCTTAAGCCCATTTGGCCATGAGAGACATGGAAGCAGAGCCGAGAAGAAGGGAGACATTGGCTCCAAGGAGAAGCTTGAGATTGGTTTGAAGCTTAGGGTTCATAAAATCAGCAGCGAGAAGATCAACGAGAGCCATGTAGATTAAGATCCCAGCTGCAGCAGAATTGAAGATGCCTTCAACTATGAGAGAAGTTGCGCTATTCTCTTCGTACACGCTTGAAATTCCCATCCCTATCGCTATCCCTATTGGTGTTGTTAGGGAGAAAAATGTCGCCATCATCGCTGTGGCTCTCGACTTGAACTTTGCCTGCACGCGTACCCACAAATTGAATTATATTCAAATGTTGCTTTTCACTCCCAGATCATAGATTGCAACTTCATCAAATTTATGTGACAAATGAATCATCAAATGATTATACACGTTAATATAATTACTTATCACGTGATAACTGAAACCCATCATATAATTTAGAGGAATTCTTACACGCATATGGTACATCACGTCACCCATAATCTGTTCAATGAAAATTCTTGCATGTTTTTATTGAATAGGGCATGGATAATGTAGTTTATTGAGTCTATGTAAAAAAATTTCTCTGAGTTTATTTATCTTTTTTCTTTAATCAACCTATATTTCTGGTGTACCTGAAGAGAAACATATGCTATCTAGTTAATTAATGTTTAAAATAGTTTTTGAAAATTAATCTGAGTTGATCAATCCCAAGAAGCTAAGCCGAGATATCCGAACTGGCTTATTTTGGGAGACAGTTTTCAGTTTTTCCACTATGGCCGCCATGGATAACTTTGCCTGGTACCGGCGCAGGAGGGGGAAAAGAAAACATTGTTTTCAACAGCACTTAGCTTAACTGTATTAGGGCAGAGCCTTGAGTCTAATAAAATTATGGATTAAATCTCCTGAAACTAAGACCTGCAAACTTCTATTAAGTTTACGTTTTAAAAAACTAGCACTATTTATTACAAAAAACTCATACTTTTTAAATTTTAAAATTTCAATTGATATATATGTATAATAATGTGAAAAATAATTTACTCTTTCATCAGGAAAAAAACTAAAAAAAAATGTTGAAGTCCCACAAAAAAATTAATTATTACAAAATTTATTAACAAATGAATTAAAACCATTTACTATACATTACTTCTAATTCAATTGTTAATAGATTTTGTAATAATTATTTTTTTATATGAAATCAATGTGTATTTTTTAAAAAATTACTCTTAAGGCAGATGTGGTAATTTTATCTTATTTATGGAGGGAAAGAAAAAGATGTTGTCATAATGGCAACATATGCCAATTTTATTTTATTTTATTCTGTTATTCATCTTTCCAGCTTTAAGCTCGATGTTGACTCATAAGGTCATAATATCCAGCTTTAATAGGAAAAATAATGATACTTTTGTATAATTAACAATGAGATTACTTTTAACTTCTTTGTTTATGGTTGACCCAGTAATTATACTCCTTGACTCTACTAACCAACACGTTACTCAAAACCTAATCCCCTCCTTTCGTTTTCTTTATCAAAGAGTAATATTTTCCCCAACATATCATGCATAAATTTCAACACAGTTCAAAGAAAACACAATTTATCAAAAAAATATAGTATTTATATATCATGAATAATACAGTGTGTTTTAAACTCTCTTTACAGGAGTATATAAAAAAAATCCGTAGTTTAGTGTAATTTATTCAATAAACAAATACACTCATTAAAAAATTACATAATCATTTATGCTTTCTCCAATAAAAAAAATCAAGTGTAGAAAAGATGGACATTGAAAAATAAATGGTGTGAGATACCTACTAATTAGTATTCACACAACATATATATATACATAATGAAAAAGATACCTGAGAAATACAACCACCAAGACCCATACCCTCAAAGAACTGATGGAATGAGAGGGCCACTAACAGGGTCTTTATAGCATCAATGCTCCCAGCAGCACCCAAAGAGATTCCAACTATCACTGAATGTACTACTATTCCTATCTCCAACACCTGATGTCAGGATTTAATTTTGAGCGATCAAGATTATGAAAAACATAGACACTATAAAAATTTCATAAATTTTGAAATGCTGTAAGTATATAATATTAAAAAATTTAAAACCCAATTAATCTCTACACATTTCTTCTTTCGTAACATTATTCCTTATAAATGTTGACATGATACAAGCAATGTTAATAATACTAATTCAGTGACATGTCAATTAATATCATTAATTTTGTATTTACATATGAAAATATTGACATAAATTTTTAATAAGAACAAATTAAAAAATGTGTATGTCAGATGAAATAAAAATGTAAGACACATTATAGGCAGAGAAAAATGCAAGAACATGGAATACAAAAAAAAAAAAAAGTGTAGGACCTAAACCGAAATATAGCAAAGCGTAGGGATAAAAAATAATATTGTTTCCATTTTAAACCAACTATTAAAGAAATCGCAACAAAATCGACTTATATGATATAATATGACACCACACGAAGACTGTCTTTCTTCAAGTATTTATGCTTCCCCACATGAAATAATAATAATAATAATAATAATAATAATAATAATAATAATAATAATTTTTATTTCTTACTTGCGAAATAATTCTGTGCCTGATTAACTCGGCCGTTACGGGGCCCTCACCATAGCGCTCTGCTGATCCGTGAGCATGACCATGTGTCGCATGAGTGTGCATATGAATATGATCGGCAAGCTCGCCATCTCCTAACTTCTCTTCATCGGTGGAAACTTGCTTTGAATTGAAATGCCGTCTCTTGTAATACCCAGTCGCCAGAGAATCCACCATTAACGTTCCTATCGAGGACACCATGGCGACGAACCCAGTGAAGGGGAACTTGTGCCAAGGGCTGTCCTTCAAGCAAGGTGAAGTCAAGCTCTTGAGCGCCTCCGGAAGTATGTGGACGAAGCCGGTGGAGAGAATCACTCCGGCGGCGAAGGCTTTCACCATGAAGAACATGTCGTTTTCGGGTCTCAGAGCTGAGATCCTCTTGCCCAGCAAGGGAAGACTCACCCCAAGGCCGCCGGAGATCAGAACGGAAGCTATGGAACCGAGCTTATATTTCAGAGCTTCACCGGCGGCGGCGTCACTGTTTCTGCGTTCTGACAGATCGCAGGAACAGCCATCCCCAGAAGCCACAGCGGGGAAGACGATGATGAGAAACGCGCAAACGCAGAGAGATTTAAAGATGGAGGATGAAGAAGAAGAAGAAGGGTGAAAGTTGATGATCATTGTGCAGGGAAGATGAATTGAAATAAGATTAGAGGATGGCTCGAGATGAATTATGAATTGAGAATCGTTGTTGTTATATAGTGAGGGAAAAAGGTGGTTCGTTTTGATGAATGAGTAGACTTGAGTAGCTCTCTGTATATCTGAAGAGCAAAGAAAATAAAAGCACTCTGGGAGGCTGGTATTGCGAGAATCTTGGCTCAGTTGCCATGATTATATAAAGTACTTCTTCAAACTAGATGATGTAAATGAGGTTAGACTTAATTATTTATTAATCAACTAACTAAGTAACTAATTGACTAGCTGTAATGATTTACGAATACTAATAGACATACTCACATGTATACAATTAAAGAAATAACTGACCCTTCAATTAGGCTGCGGTATATTCTACTCACAGATGACAGCTGTGATATGGACATTTTTGGCACTTACATTTCCATATAAATTACTATTAACTAATTGATATTTAAAAAAAAAGTTAGTCAAAATCTTAATTTGTAAAAATTTTCACATTTTTCAATTATTTACTCCATTTTTATATATAAAAAACTTATATCAAACAATCTAAAAAAGTTAGGTAACCATAATAATTATATTTGAAAATAAAAAAAAATTGGATTAAATTATCTTATATTAATTAACATAAGCATGCATTAAATATTTTTATTAATGTAAATTATGAGGGATGATTTAAAAAATATATAATAAATGCTTATTAAAATATGTAATTTCGCTTATATAAAAAATAAAAAGTAATAATTTTTCTTATAAATAAAAATGAAGTAGTATATCCTTAAAAGAATAAATATAATATTTAATTTATTAAAAACATTCTCATTAATTACTTGTGAAATATAATAAAATAAAAGTTACTCAATTTTTATATTTTGAACCAAGCTGAACGATTGAAAAATGTGAAAATTTCCACATGTGAGAGAGTAGCGAGAACTATAAATCTAGTCAAAAATATTTTTTGGATCAAATAAAATTTTTAAAAAGCGTTTTATATGACATTCCAGAGAGAGTAGCGAGGAGTCTCCCTCATTGAGTGCGGTGGATTTAATTTTCTGTGTGAGAAATATATGCTTATGAGTAATGTGTGATTTTTTTTAATTTAATTGAGATTTTGCATTTTGTTATAGGCTGAATATATTAACAACTAATAGTAAGTGGAGGGGATTCTTTCATACAAGATAATTTTTCCAACATAAAAAAAATATTTTTTAAAATCAATATCAATTTATTGTTAATTAGATACATACATGATATGAAGGTTGAGACAAGGAGTCCACTTTTTTTTATGTAATGGGCAACAAAAAGAGAAATGTGGGCGCGGTGCATGGAAATATTGGGATAAACAAGTGAAGATGGACAAATCTTAATAGCAAGCTCCATACTAAATCATTACTCCACCCAATGATTTTATATATCAGTTATTTTCTAAAAAAAAATTATGGTCTGTTTTATAAGTTATTTTGTATAAAAATATGGATTATTGGTTATTTTATTTCAATTTCATCCTTTTAAAAAAAATTCCTGAACAAGCATCAATAACGATAAGGAAGATAAAGCGTATTTTAGAACTTAGAGATAGAAAAGACAAAAGAAGGACATGTGGGCATAATAGAGACGCTGAATGGTAATACGGTCATTGCAAATAAAAGCCAAAAAGGGTTCAGGGAAGGACGTGTCAATGGTGGGAAATGATGTCACACTTCCCAGTGAAAAAAAATAAAACAACAAAAATCAATGAAAAAGATAATGAGGACACGATGGAGTCATGCAAATCCCCAAAACCAAAGCTGTGGTTTGGGCAAATCCGGTCTGTGATATTTTTAGGTGTCAAATCAAAACTTAGTAAGTTAATTAAATTAATTAATTAACATTTTTTAAAAAAAAATTTCATTTCAAAATATAAAATATTTTAAGTATATTAAAATTTTATTAAATACAACAATTTAATATTATTCTTTTTTCTTTATAATTAATTTTTATCACTTCTTTTTTCAATATATTAAATGATGGGTATTTTAAAAAATTTATATTTTTATTTTAAAAAGATAAAATTATTAAGTGTATTTAATAAAAATTATTGATATGTGAGATTTTATTTAAAAATATCTTATAATTTGAGATGAAGAAGTATTATTTTTTATATTTATTCATGAAATGTTTTGGGGTGAAGTGCTGAGTGATTGTGGTTTTTGGAAAAAAATTTATTAATGACATATTAAAAAAATAAAATATAGTTTATATTTTTTAACATGTAATTTTTAAAAAATGTTGAATACTCTCTCCACTTCTTCTTAATATAATATACTTGATGAGATGTTAATTATATTTTTCTTATATTATTCTTACTTAAACCCTTAATTATGACAGAGCATGTTATACAAATTTAAAATTTTTCATTTAAATATAAGTAAAATTAAAAATTTATTTTATTTTTATATAAAGTTAATAATTTAATTATATCTCTTTAATTCTAGTGAGATAATTAGAGTTTTCTTCCAATGATGGAAAGAATATTTTTTAATGGGGGAGAGGAGACCTTAAAATTCAAATGACTCTAAAAAAAATTTATAAATTATTCATTAACAAAGTTGTCATATTTGTACTAAAATTCAAACTCATAAACTTACAAGATATACTTTCTTCAGTTTTATTTATAAGATACATTTTAAAAAATTTATTTAATTTTATTTAAAGTTATGGTATAAATTTTTAGATAATATTTAAAAGATAGTTTTAAAATTATTTTTTATAAGAGAAAGAAAATAACATGACATTATTTTTTAAATTTTTTATATAAAGGACATATTTAAAAATTTTACATGTTATTATTCCTTTTATTTTTTCACATTGATATTAATAAATTAATAAAACTAATTTATAAAAAAAAAAATCAGAAGGGCAAGTCATATCTTTACCTACTTGGACAAGCTATAGCAAAGCATTTAGCTGAAATTGGATATATGATTGCTTTAGCACCGAAAAGGTGATCTCAGGAGATGTTGATATAATGTGGCAAGACTCCAACTTGAATCTCAACACTCAGTATTTGTTTCATAGTCCCACGAAACATATCGAACCACTTTTCCTTTTTCACATTCATATCTATTTATCATTGCACTTATTGACCCTTTTATCATCACATCAAAAGGAATCGTTCTAAAGCTTGTACGGGCTCGTTCCCGATTAACCTCTTTTTAATCATTGTCATCACACTGCAAATTGCTACGTCTTCAGTTTAAATAATTATCATTTCGAAATATAATTTTTGCTTCCTAGATAATTTTGTATTATTCCACTCTTCATCAACGAAAATAACAACAGCTGAAACCGAATTGTTGCTACAATATATTATTATAAAATCATAGATTAAATTATGGCGTCTATTTTGTATTTTAATTAAATTAAATTATGAAATAAAATTAACATATTTTAACAGGTAATAGCTTTTGCTTTAAAATTTTTTTAATAATTTTCTCAAGAGATAATAATAAAATATTTGATAATAATTTTGATTCTTAAAAAAAATCATAATTTCCATCTATTTTGTTCTAAAATTAAACATTAGGTCCTTTGTAATTTTTTTTATATTTATACTAACTATAAATATTATTATTGAATATTTGAAGTATATTAAATAAGTAAATAACCATAACACTCTACTTCAAAGCTGGGGTGCACAAAATGGTTGATGATGGAGCCTTGCAGGGTTATTTATTTTCTTTCATATAATATTTATAAGAGAAAGCCTCAACACGGCCTATTAGCTCAGTTGGTTAGAGCGTCGTGCTAATAACGCGAAGGTCGCAGGTTCGAGACCTGCATGGGCCAAAACTTCTAAATTTTTTTAAACCCCTTCGAGAAGGGTATAAATGTCAAAGCATCTCTTTTCAAATCCAAAACTCAGCAGGCGCTCTTCGGGGTTCGGATTTTCCCGTTTCTTCCATTTACAACTGTTCTTTTCCTTTGAATTGCTCAATCACTCTCACTAAAGCTTCACATTCGCATACCCATTCGAATCCTCACCGAATGGTTCCACTTATGCTTTTGTAGACATTCAATTAATCTTAGAATAATTGGAACAGGCGGTTATCGGAAAGCTATGGCAGCTGTCAAGGTGCCCCAGATACCTTTGAAATTTGAATTTCATTTCTTGTTTTTCGGTTGTTCTTTTTTTTTCTCACATTCTTGTGTGATTTTCGTAAGTTGCAGGGAAAATCTAAAGTGGGTTTAACCCGGGTCTTTGAAGATGGCCAATCTCGTAAAAATTGTATCTGTTAATTCATTGCATATAATTTGTTTTCTTGCCTTTTTGAGATTTCAATGTTGCAAGATTGATTTTTTTTTTTTGGTTTCTTTTCTAAATTTTCTGTGATCTGTGAACAGCGGGTGCTAGAAATTTTAAAGTTTTGCCTGAAAATGAGCAGCTCAAAATAGATGATGATGGGCTCGCGTAAGTATTTCTCTGTTAGTGATTGAAAATGCATCATGCCTGGGCATTATAGGCAAATGAAAGGGTTATTAACTTTGATCCTTTGTCAGGAAACCAGCAACAGGAGCCAGTGAACATGCAAGGTATGATATATTTTCTTACATAAAAAACTGGAATTGCTACTCTTTTAAGGGGCTGATAGAAGCTGACTTGGAATAGAGTGAATATTTATACTTGAAAGTAATTGTATCATTGGTCTTACTGATAGAGGCTGTTATTAGTTGATTTTGTTTGTTCCTCACTTCCTCTGATGGCTAAGTAATGTTCTAAATCTGTGCAGTAGTACTACTTCGTGGGCTGGAAAAAATGTCTATCTACATTTTATTGTTGTTGTTGTTTTTATGTTATTTGTATCCTAGACTCTTGCAATCCGCAACAAACTAGGCTGCTGAAGATTTTAGCATTTCTGTAACATATATGAGTCCAAAACTGTTACCTTGTGTCGTGTATTTGTATGTGTTATGAGAGGTTTGCTTTGCATTATGAAAGACATTCAAAACAGTGACTTCTATCACTCTACATGTTTAATAAATTTCTGATCAGGGGAGAATTTTGTTCTATTGATTTACTGTCTCGCTTCTCTTCATGACTTATGTAGAAGGATGCTTTGGTGGCTAACAAAGGGGTTGTCATGAATACTGCTAGCACTCAAAGGTGATACGCCTCAATGCCTCATAGAACTTTCTGACTACTCAATTTAAACTTTGGTTGATCAGAAGATATTAGTGTTTTATGACATCGCATGGTTATAATTTTTCTGTGCCTCTAATGCTAAAGGTTGGCTTGAAAAGTATGAAGAAAAGCAGTGGCATCTATGGTAGTTCTGGTATGCCTTAACTAGACAAAAGTTGTGAATAACTCTTGACAGAAACATGTTGATGAATTCATTTATTGCTTCCATTATTTCGTTTTTTTTTTTGGTAGCAAATATGAAAGCGAGAAAGGCACTGGCTGATGTTAGCAACGTTCAAGGCAACTCTATGAGGAATATTAAACAGGATGCTTCTAAAATGAAGTGAGAATCCTCTTCACTCTGGGTAGAAAGAATTAGAAAATAACTTTTCATACTGTAATATGTAATGTTGCATCTATCTGACTTTAACTCCCTTCCACATTGCTTGCTTCCCTTATCAATGAATGTAATACTCTATTGTTTGATGTTCCAGTTCTTAATGCCTATCCAGGGTTTTAGCCAGCACAGGTACCAAGTTGGGCGATGCCTCTTCAAGGAAGTCCTTTATGGTATGAAAATTCCCAAGTCACATCTGTTTAAACTTTCTTGTAATCCATGTGGTCTCTTCTTTCTTATTCAGTTATTTAGCAGAATACACGGTTCATTTAAGCTTTTATTGCTGCATACTGACACAATGAGTGGAATTGTACTTGGAATTCCACTTATGAACTTTAAATCAAAGTGAGTTAAAAGTAAGTCTTACAAAATCATTGATGATGTACAATGGACAGAATGCTCTAGTTAGTGAATGCCTGTTTTTTTGTACGTGCTATACCATGTCAAATATCCCTATCAAGAGATTCATCCACAGATTGACTTTTCTCCCTGTTCCCTATCCTGTTCCTATATACCCTTGTGAGAAAGCATAAACGCTGCTTTCATTTTGGTAGAGCAACCGTTTTTAATGGTTGGTTTACTGAATCATAGGCCTACTAGGCTACAACTATACTGAATTTGTATGATTTTTTTTCCTTGTTCACATTAGGGGAGACTGCACAGGAAATAAATCAAGTTGATGGTCAGTTAGAAGCTTCTAAGAGAGGTGATTTTCTTTTCCTTAGATAATTTTATTCTATATTTCCTAGTTAAGTATAACTTTAATCTGTGCCTTTGTGTGGTAAGCAGTGAGCACTAGCTCAATACCACCCTTAGGTGCTCAGAAGATTAATAAAAGTGGAGGAAGATCATCTATTGCCACAGAGGGCAGTACTGTTGGCCATGTATATTGTTTATCTCTCATTTATTAATATGATGTTATACTAGATCGTTGTTAGATATCAAAGGTCTCAAGTACTCTGCTGCAGGAAATTTACATGACATTTTCTTCTTTTTTTCAGGACCACTAGGAAGTCTCTCTTACCTAGTTTGACAAGGTCTGTATTTCTTGATCAGATTAGGTTAAAACTTAATATGACTGACACCAGAATATTCATTTGGTTTTTCTTGAAGGAGGTCTTTACCTGTGCCAAGGAGGGTCAATAGGGAGGACATGAGCAACAGAAAGGTCGTTATGGTTGCTTTGCAATTTTATGTCATCTTTGTGTATAATCACTACAATTTGTCTATCCTCTAGCTGATTTATTCAGATTTGAGGATCCTTGTCATTTTGTGTTAAAGTGTTTTACACTTTTCCTTTTTTCTGTTTTTTACTTTTTTTAGGGAAATGCTGGAAGTTCTGATACTGCAAAGAAAATAAGTGGGATAATCAAGTAAGATGCTGGGATGTGGATAAGTGCTTGTAAATCTCATCAAAAATACTTAAGTTGTTTAAACTATTCACTTTTTCAGCTAAGGAAGAAACAGTGAGAAAAGTTGCCCCCCAATTATCTGGTGCAACAAGCCATTACGGAAGACTCGTGAGTGATGGCCATGTTCATATGTGAGTGATAGTTATAATATTGCCCAAAGCTTTTATGTTGATTTCATACAGATGTTCAAATGAATTGCAATTTTTTTCCATTCCATTGTTTATGAAGTTGCTAAACTGCAGAACTCTAAACATTTGAGTCTATAGTAAACAGATTTAAGAGGCAAGATTCGTTTAAAACTGATAATGACCTGTGGCAAAGCTGTGTTGTTAATATGAAAGTTACTATTTTAGTTTTTAAACTCCTTTTGATATGCCTCTATGCCTGTTTTATTTATTCTATTTTTTGTTTTAGTGCCTACTACGATTCCTTCTTGATATGCTGTAGTTTGGTGGCTATTCAGACTTGATTGACTTCTGCTAGTTGGTAGATTGGAAGATGTTTGCTTGTTATTAATTGATCATTTTCATGCAGTAATCTGGGAGCCAGGGTTAAAACCAATGTTTTATATGCATCCTCAAGGAAGTCTACCAAAGTATGTTTGCTGTATTTTTAAACTATTTGTAATTACTTTGCCTGATTTGATTGGGGTACCACCTCTGCTTTGGTCTGTTTGGTTGCACAGTTGCTCTGCTATATTTATACCCTGCTGCACAACACTATTTGTAATGCATCTAGCTTTAAGCATTAAATGGTGGAGCATATAATGCATTCTTGACTACAACAACAATAAGCTTTATTCTATAATGTAGGGTCAGCTATATGGATTGCACTATAACCATTGTACTCTATCATTTACCAAGATTTTAGGAATGTTGTTAACTAAGAGGTCCTGGTCAACAACTTCTATAAGTGTTCTCTTTAGCCTTCCTCTACATTACACTATTATGCCCATAACACATTCATGACTATTGAGGTTAAAGTATTTTGCAGACAGTTTAAGGTATGCAAACAGAGAATATACCTTGAGTAATATGAAGTGATAAGAAGGACAAGAATACAAGTAGAACAAGAAAAACTTGTTTCTCCAGGCTCTATGTCTTAGTCTGCTAATTTTGATAACTTAGCTGCTGTATTTAATGTTTTTTTATGGACTTGTGTGATAAGTTGTGCTCAGTGCGGAGATCATCATTTAGTGACCAAAGTCTACTGTCCAGTCTGCCTATAATATCTAATGTCGGATATTTTTCCTCAAACTTTGTGAGCATCCACCTATTTTACCTGCTTTTGGCCTTGCTGCTCGCAGCCTCTTGTTAAGCCCACACTTAAGCTTCTAACGCTCCAAGGACTTCAAAATCTAAGTCCAAATCAGCTGCCGCAATTTCATCACAGGATGAGGAGGCAGTGGCTTTGTCTCTCCCTGATAATAATTTAACCTGTGGTTTCCAACGATGCATAGGAAGGGCAGCTTCCATCTGGTGAGACAGCAACCCAAGAACAAGTTCATTGGGAGATATTGGAAGGAAAAAGTCCACCCGTCGAAAATCTTACACAACTTTGTTAATGGAAAGATCTAAGGTCGATGCTTAATGCGTTCTGCCCACATTTCTTTTCAGTTCTCGTATAGATTGGACGTTATAATGACTTACTTTTACAGCTTCTCAAGGAAAGTGGTGAAATGACTGAACAAGATAACCTACCAAATATCGATGATGAATGCAATCAACTAGAATTTTCTGAGTATGTTGATGATATATCATAACTATTGGGTTACTGAGGTATGATTTATAATGCTTTTGATGTGACTTTTTTTTTTTTCCCCTTTATTGCTTTTCTACTGTTGAAAAAATCGTTACTTACTTTTTGAACATGCTTATCCCTTTACCTTCCCCCCCCCCCCAATGCCATGTAGATACTATCCAAGTTAAAATAATAAACTTTTTTTAATAAAGTTTTAAATTCTGTGAAATTCCTCCAATCTCAATCTGTTTTCAACTGCAGGCACAAGCTCCGGCTCTGATGAGTTATATGTCAATTCAGACGGACCTTACACCTCATATGCGTGGCATACTGATAAACTGGTTAATTGAAGTACTTCCCATTTTCCCTCAACCCTCAGATGGCTTAGTATTAACATTTCATCTTCTTTCCCTATCGCGTTGTCTAAGGTTTAACTCTTCAATTCCTTTGCTTTCTCACTACTGGCTTTTACAGGTACACTTAAATATGAGTTGATGGCCAGAAAACCCTGTATCTCACAGTTTCGTTATTGGATCAATATCTATCTCTAGTGGCAATTGAAAAGAATGAATTGCAGTTAGTTGGTCTAACCGCACTTCTGCTGGCCTCAAAATATGAAGATTTTGGCATCCTAGTGTAAGAGACAGTTTTCTCTCATCCGTTTTCTTTTGAAGAAAATATTTCATGGTTTATCGTGATTGATAGTAATATGTGCTGTCTTTCTATCTGTTTTAGGTCAAAGAGTTACTAAGCATTTCAGTTGAATCATATACGAGAGAACAAATACTAGGGATGGTATGCGAGCTTACTTCTTTTCAGCCTTTTATTCAACACAACTCTTGATCAATCGCCTAACTTTAATATGATCTTGAACATCTGGTTGCTCATCTTTTTAACTAAAACGGAGAACCAGAAAAAAATCATAGCGTAATAATTTGTTTGAGAGGTAGGTTGATCAAACTATTCTACTATTGAACCATAAGTAATGCGTACAAGGCGTAGTTGTTTGTTGGTATTTTATTCCGTAGCATAGAAATTTTGCTGTCTATTATTCTTATTCTGTTTTCCCCTGTTTCTAGCATAGAAATTTTTTTGTCTATTATTCGTATTCTATTTTTCCCTGTTTCTGAACTTCTAGACCTGTTTGAGAGGGACAGGTCCAAGGTTTCCATGACCAGATTCTAATATCTGCAGTTGTTTTTGTTCAGGAGAAGCTTATTCTTAGAAATTGAAGTTCCATCTTAATGGCCCCACTCCTTATGTTTTTATGGTGAGGTTTTTGAAGGCTGCTCAGTCAGACAAGAGGGTATGTTAATGCAGCATAAATGTTTGTGCAGATGATGCCAATTTAGTACGTCGATATATTATATATATATTTTGGGTGGGGCGCCAGATATTCAGGATGTCAAATTGACATCAATGTCAATATCATCATCAATATATATAAATATAGAATTGGAAGCTGCACTGCTTACAAAACCGTGACTAGTGCAGTTTTTAGCCTTAGGTTCTGTGTAATTGCATGGATCTGAATGTGAGATCTAGTTGCTTCTAGAGCTTGAAGGATGACAGTTAATGAAGATGCTAAGCCTTTTATTTGTAGTTTATTGTTCTAATTGAGGACAAAAGGTTTGGTTTTCTAAACTTTTTGGTGAACATTTGTCCCAGCTGGAACACTTGGCATTCTTTCTTATTGAACTGTGCTTGGTTGAATATGAAGCCTTGGCATTCAAGTCTTCACTGGTATGTGCATCTGCTATCTATGTTGCTCGTTGCACCCTGCAAATTGCCCCACCATGGACGCCATTGCTGCACAAGCATTGTCGTTATGAAGTTTCCCAATTAAGGCATGATTCTATATTCTGTTGGGACCCAACTTAGTTTTAAGTCTTTTCATGTTCGATGTTAGTCTTTCTAACGAAAATTGTTAAAGAGATAGTTTTTAACATTTCAGGATCACCAAGTTTTGTTACTTCATGATTCTGGGTGATCCTAGTTATGCTAACTGTTGCCTCCATTTGCAGGAATTGTGCAGAGATGATATTAAAGTTCCACAAATCAGCTAGAGCAGGAAATCTGATGGTTACATGTGAAAAATTTCAAGGCCTGAACTAAGTAGGGTTGCAACCCTGAAACCTTTGGACAACCTTCCTCTCTGACTTGACTTGGATTTGTGCTTTAATTTTACTTCCGTGATAAGTGTGAAATACTTAGAAAATACTGTATTATGTTGTAAGCTGCAACCACTTTTTTTTTTTTTTTGGAAATAGTAAGCTGTAACCACATGTGACTGCACATGATATGAATGTGCACCCCGAAAGGAATTAAAATGAAAGACTAAATTCTCAAGGCATTATTGTAGTGGCGACTAGTGAAGAATCCTTTTTAGAATTGATTTGAGAAATTTAGGTTTTTCGTTTTTAAAAAAAGAATCCAACATGGAAAATTTAATTGAACGTGATGCATAATATTTGCAGAACCACCACATGGAAATTTAAATGATCAGAAGTTGTT